GGGGGGAGCCCCTCCTCCTGCCCCTGCCCCTGCCCGGGGCCATGTGGTTCCATTTATCCCTGGCCGGCTGCCGGGGTGGGGCTGGTCGGAGTCGGATGGCCTAGATTAGAATCTGCTTGAGCCAGACCAGTCCTTTCCTTCGCTGTGATGAGAGAGGGAGAGGGTCAGAGGGAGGCGGTCAGGAGGTTATCAGAGAGAGGTAGTCAGAAGGAGGCGGTCGGAGAGGGTGATGAAATAGGGAGGAGACCGGGATAGGCAGAGGGGGATGGGGGGGGAGTCAGAGGGAGGAGGTTGGGGTCAGGCAGAAGAAGAACAGAGGGTCAGAGAGGGCAACCAGAAGGGGACGTTAGTGGAGATGGTCAGAGAAAGTAGTCAGAGGGAGGAGGGCTGAAGTGGCAGTGGTCAAAGGCAGGAGATCATGGTGATGGTGGTGGAGGAGGAAGTCGGAAAGAAGTCAGGAGACCTGGTGGTCAGAGGGAGGAGGTCATGGTGAAGAGAGTCAGAGGGAAGAGGTCATGGTGATGATAGTCAGAGAAAGGAGGTCAGAGGAAGGAAGTGGGGGAAGAACACGCATAAGAAGCCCCTCCTCTCCACATGGGTTTCCCCTGGCAAGGGGGCTCCAGGCTCAGGAACAGCCCCAGGGAGCTGGTGTGGGGGAGTGGGGAGATGGGGACCGTCCAGCTCTGGGGCTCAGGCCAGGAAGCTTTGATTCATCCCAGAACTAGGTCAACTTTTTTTCTCACCAAAAACCAAGGGAAAAAAACCAGAGTCAACAGGCTGATGAGGCCGGAACATCTGTGGAGGGGGTTGGTGGTGTGCTGGGCCAGGCCTGCTTTTTCTTCCTAAGCCACAAACACCGCTGGGGGGGCGACGCTGAGCCCCCAAACCTGAGCCTGTGCCATGGGGTCCTGGGCTTGTCCCGACTGTCTCACCCACCCCCGGCTTCTCTCTGCTGCAGACCCTGTGGATGTGTTGGAGGCCCTTGGTGTGCGGGGGGGCCAGGCGGGGGTCCCTGAGGGGCCTGGCTTCTGTCCCCAGAGGGCTCCAGAGGGTGACCGGGCCTTCCGAGTGGGCAAGGCCACCAGGCTCAGTGTCCCCACATGGGAGCTCTTCCCAGGTGAGTCAGGGTAGGGAGCCGGGCATCATGTTGCAGGAAGCTGGATCACTGCTGGGCCACTCAAGCTTCCCCATTGCCTCTGTCCACCCAGATGGCCGCTTCCCTGAGAACTTCTCTGTGTTGGTCACTCTGCGGGGCCAGCCAGCCAGCCAGTCTGTCCTACTCTCTGTTTACGACGAGCAGGGTGTCCGGCAGCTGGGCCTGGTTCTAGGGCCAGCTCTGGGCCTCCTTGGTGGCCCCTTCCACCCCCTCCCCCAGCAGGTCAACCTCACAGATGGCAGGTGAGTACAAGGAATGTGGCTGAGGTCTGTGGGGGCGGGGTGAGAGGCACCCCCACTGAGGCTGTCCCCCTGCAGGTGGCACCGTGTGGCGGTCAGCGTAGATGGTGGGATGGTGACCCTGGTGGCGGACTGTGACCCTCAGCCCCCCGTGCTGGGTCAGGGGCCTCGATTCATCAGCACAGCTGGACTCACTGTGCTGGGGACCCAGGACCTCGGGGAGGAGTCTTTTGAGGTAGGAGCTCAGTGATGTGGGAAACTGAGGCAGAGGGCGGACGTTTTGTCCACAGCCTGAATCTGGAGGGGACTGAAGGAGAAAGATGTTAATCTTCAGCCTGGCCCCAGGAAGCTGAGGGAAGAGAGCGGCTCTTGTGTGCATAATTGTGGTGTGTGCTTGTGAGATTGTAGAACTCCTGGGCACAGTGGCTCAAGCCTGTCATCTCAGTGCTTAGGGAGGCCGAGGCAGGCGGATCACTTGAGCCCAGGAGTTTGAGACCATCCTGGGAAACACTGCGAGCTCCGTCTCTGCAAGAAATAAAAAACTAGTTGGGCTTGGTGGTGTGCGCCTGTAGTTCCAGATGCTCAGGAGGCAGAGGTGGGAGGATCACTTGAGCCCAGAAATTCGAGGCTGCAGTGAGCTATGATCGTGCCACTGGACTCCAGCCTGGGTGACAGAGTGAGACCCTGCCTCTAAAGAAAAACAGAGGCCGGGCTCGGTGGCTCAGCCTGTAATCCCAGCACTTTGTGAGGCCGAGGTGAGTGTATTGCCTGAGCCCGCGGGTTCGAGACCCGCCTGGGCCACTTGACGAGAACTCATCTCTACAACAAATCAAAAACTAGCCGGGCATGGTAGCGTGCGCCTGTAGTTCCAGCTACTCGGAAGGCT